CGAGCGGAGCGCTAGTGTAGCGGCTGTTAAAGTTAGTTCGAACTAACGTCCATTAGTTCGAACTAACTTTGTAGTGTAGACATACCCTTATTCTCTTAAAACAGTATGAATCCTCTGCCCCAAGCCACTGTACAGAAAGAAAGAGAGGCAGAGAGACAGAATGGCAGACACCAGTTCAGGAAAGAACTTATGTGCATGCTTAATTACTCTATCTGAATAAGGAGATGCTTTTCCGAAGCGGGCCTACAAAGAGATAGAAATACATGGACCCCTTCTTAATCAATTAGCGAATGAATTGAACAGCAGAATAAACATTCCGTGCCATATGTTAATGTTCTGTAGCAAATGAACCTCTTAAGGGCAAGGACTGCTTAAAAGGTGCAGTGCCAATGTAACAAACTAACTGGAGTTTCATACAATAATAGTGACCCTCTGGGAAAAATACATGTAGGATATAGTGATCTGTGCTTTCTGCTATAGCTGGGATTTGGACTCCCTAAATTCTACTCACGCCATGCAACAGAACAGTAGTAAGTTCAATGCATTCAGGGCTCCTACCCCTCAGTGCACCGAAATTCCACTGGCAGTACAGCTAAGAATGTAGCCTTCTTCCTAATTCCAGTCAGGATATGCTTTTACATGCCTGACCTCGCTTTGATTGGTGGAGGCGCCTACTGAAAAGCAGCGGCATGCCAGAAAAAACTATTATACAGTGAAGGGAACTTTTACCATCTCCGCATGCTTAAACTTCCACTTGCCACATCTTATGTCAGCTTCTGCTCATAACCACTTGTGCAAGTTCAGAGAAACGACTCTACAACTGAAGGTTATTTGATCTATTGTGGTTCAGAGGCTTTGCAGTGCAATCGAGCAGCCAGTGGGAGGTGAGATTGCTCTAGTTTCATGCAAAATCTACTTAGGCTCAGCTTAAAGGACTTCCTGTTTTCTCTACCAAGGAAATGAGAGGAGCAGATCTTCAATGGAAATTTTTCATAGCCTCTGACTACTAAAAATAGCACTGAGGTGAAAGAAG